TTTATAATTTATGAAGTTAACAATTGTTGGGGTAACTCTATATTGTAAAAGGGCTCTCTTAGACTGTTGAACAGCATCATCACATGTTTTGTTCCACCAAGGCACTGGTTTTCTTAAAGTGTGTATAGTTTGTTTAAACTTTGATTTTGGTACTGTCTTGTCTCTGATGTCATATAAAATATTAACAAAATTATTATAAAATTGTAATGGTGTGTCATTATTTACATTATTATGTACATTTAAGTGGGAAAAAATACTTTCTGATAAAGAAAAATATTTCGACCAGTCTGCTTTATTATATAAAAATTTTTGTTCTACAGGTCGGACCTCATACACTGTTGGCCTCACATTTACACTTACGTGAGTTGGATAGTGATAGCTGCCCATCGGGTCATCATGGACTTTCCACTCACAGAGAGGAGCTATTCGGGGACTAACTAATGTTATATCTATTGCTGATGCCTGCCTGTTTGGTGATTCAATGGTGGTTGGACTACCATCATTTAACACACATAAGTCAAGTTCATCTATGAGATTGTATATGTTATTACCTCTACTATTGTTTGTATGACAACCAAACAAAATATGATGTGCATTAAAATCACCCATAATGAGACATGGCTTAGGAGCACTAAGTAGAACTTTTTTCAAAACTTTTTTGGTATCAAATCTTCCATTAGGAGGACAATACACACATAGTATGTTTAATTTGCCTATGGATGTTTCTATTGCAATACATATATTCTGAACTGATTCATAAAAAGTAGTAGTTATGATATTATATTTAAAATTTTCTTTTATTAAAATACCCACTCCATTGTGTGTATTTACTGAGTTTTTGAATATGAAATTATAGGATGTAAATTTAGGAAATTTACTGTTACTTTTAAGCCATGTCTCATTAATGAGACAGATATCAATATTTTGTTCATTCATGTATTTTTGCAACAGAGCTTTTTTACTCTGTAAGCTTTGTATATTAAACTGTGCTATATTTAAGTATGTATTCATTAAATTAAATTTGACAACAATATTTCTTTTATTGTCTTATTAGTTATTGACATTTTCTCTTTGTTGTTACCGAGAGCAACAAGAGATTTAACTAATGCATTAATTATAATTTCATTATTTACAATTTGATCTGCATTGAATGCAGTATTATTATTATTTACATTTTGTTTAAATTGTGAATTATATACATTTAAAGATTTCTCTAAAGTGGGATATACTTTTGGGGTTGTACTACTTGAGGGCATACTCACAACAGCGGCATAGGAGTGATTGACATATTTACTTCTTTTTTCTTCAATTTTCTTCTTTTTAATGGGACAATCTCTCGAAATTGCTAAGTGGTTACCACTACAATTGATACAAACGATTTCTTCTACATCACATTCTTTGTATGAGTGTTGACCAGCACATGATGAGCACATCTGTGAGCTACGGCATACTTTAGCTGAATGGTTAAACTTCAGACATTTGTAACATTGGACTAATGGTGGAATATAAGTGTGTACAGGATATCTAAATAATTGTATGTAGGCATATTGTGGTAAAGTGGTAGCTGCAAATGTGACGGCTACAGTGCCCAATGGAGATAGTTTTCCCTCTACTTTTTTCATAAAACGTTTGATGGATATCACTTCGGTATCACAACTAATACTTTTATAAATATCTTCGTTGGACATGTCTGTCGGTACGTATCTTATGATACCAGTTTTTTCTGTGATATATGCTGGTACAAAAGCCTTGAATTTATACTTGTTTAAAAAATTGTCCATTTTTAAAAAATTATTGGCTGGTGCGGGCTTTCGAAAGGTCACACCTATTTTATAGGCGTTTACTCTGTGTACACCTGCAATGCCTTTCACATTTTCGGTGAATAACTTTGTTAAAGTAATGGGGTTTTTATTCCCAACTTTTTCATTTTCTGTAGATTCTACATAGACAACACAATCTACACTATGATTTTCAGGAAACTGTCTTTTGTAATTGGGTTTTGTATACATTTTATAGTCCTCGGATATAATTAAATGATTCGGCGACATCTTCCGTTTTTTGCCGCGTTGACTTTTTCCACGGTCGACGGGGTTTCCCCCGTCGCTACTATCACTCATTTTCTCTGCTTGATTTACTATTTAGGTATTTACAATTAAAATAAAAAAATCAAAAAGGAGAAGATTTAAAACACCCGCTCAATTTGACTTCCCGCCAAAAAGTCCAGACAAATTTCACTTGAACTATGTTGCCAGCTTGTTATTGTTACGGTTTTTAGGGTTGTGACACTATCGGAAACTAATATTTATTACCGATTTTTATGGGTCACTGAGAAATAATGTGTGGGTGTATTAATAAAAAAAAAACGCATTAAAACAAAATTAATAAAGTATAGGGATAACCTGTAAAATATATACAATCGATTTAAGAGTCAAAAATTTTACCTTTGATTGTTCTTGTTTTTGTTAGTCTACTAAAATTTCAACTTGCGGAAAGTAGTTATTTTTGACATTTTAATTAAAATACGTGAAAATAATTGTTTTAGCTTAGGAAAATACTTTTGACATCCTTTCGGCGTTTTTTTATTCCTTACAAATGTCAGTCGAAAATTAAATGCGTAGGTTACGTTAGGTTAGAGTGTAATGATAAGTGTCTATTGAAAGGAGAGACGTTTTTTTTTTTGTGTATGATAATGGAATGGTGCACCCGCCTGCGCTAACGGTTTACGCTGGCGGGGCACCAGTGGAGGATGATAAGATGAGCATGAGGTCAGGTCAGTTAGCCCATCGTGACAAATTCACCAAGAATTCATCACGATGGTTTCCAGGGAGAACCGCGTGGAGGTCGACCTAACATGGTACATTGCTAGCAATGGGAATTACTAGTTCCCATTGCTAATAATCCCCTTCCCCCCAGGAGAGACGGTTAGCACTCCCCTTGACAAGGATGGAACACACAAAATGGTTAAGGCACAACTTGACCACATTTTTTTTTATAAGAAGGCTTGGGGGAGCCCAAACCACCTGGAGAGGTGGCGCTGGAGAAGACCGAGGTCCTGTGTTTTCATGGGCCTCGGCGTGCGCCACCTCCGGATGCCCAGCTGGTCGTCAGTGGCCAGAGGGTGGGGGTCAAGCCCTGTATTCGATACTTGGGGCTTGACCTGGACAGTCGTTGGAGCTTCCGCGCTCACTTCACGTTCTCACGGAACCTGGTCCCTCGCCTTATGGCAGCCGCCGGCGCTCGTAGCTGGCTGCTGCCAAATGTGAGGGGCCCGGGAGAAGGTTCCCGCCGCCTATACCTCGGCGTGGTGCGGTCCATGGCCCTGTACGGGGCCCCCATCTGGGTGGGGGCCCTAGGTAGGGAAAATGTGGCCTGCCTCAACAGGCCACACAGGGTCATGGCCATGGTCGCCCTAACCACAAAACGAGATGGGGCCTGCCCTACAACATCTACAGGGCGGGCCGTCGCCGTCGGAGCTGGGGTAGAATGCACTTGCGAATCCCCTGGCTCCGGCATAGGCGCTCGTAGGTACACCGTGTGGTTTTTTAGTGGGTACAAGTCCCACACACCACCTCGCCATCCCTCCGGCGGGGTAACGGTCTTTTGAAGATTTTTCCACACGATAAAAAAAAAAAAATCTCAGATCACGCTCAGATCGAAGGTCATCTGTCCTCCACACCGAACTACAACCCCCAAAGGAGATTTCCTTCAGTAAGGGTGAACCCCCAAGTAAGGAGTATCCCCAAACCCCCTCCCCCCCAAAATCTATTAGATATATTTTGCAAACAGCGTCCTAACCTTAAAATTTTCAAAAAACATTTTAATAAAGCTATGAGAATTCATAACAATTCAAGGGAGAGGTGACCTGCCTCCCTAAAATAACCTCCAATGGCATTCACTACAAAGAATGCCACCACTGTAGCAACAGACCGACCAATCCGGAGCACTTGCGGCCGCCCGCCCGCTCGCTATTCTATAAATATGTCCACTGTATCAGTAGGATCGTCCGGTAAAATAGTAAAGGCCAGCTGCGGCCAACAGCATTAGAGCAGTCCGAAAAAAAAACAAGTAGGATTGGTAGTATATTCCTTACAATTAGTTAAGACACACGCGATTTGGTCTGCATAAAGTTTTGTGTATTTTAACAAATAAAACAGCTTTCCATAAGAGAGTCTTTAAATCTCACCATAAAAACCCTGAGAACCTCACGCGCCCATATCTTGTGCCCCAAAACCGCTAAATTTGAATATTTTACACTTACACCACAATTTAGCCTCCGAGATTAAAAAGCATACTATAATCCAAAAACATTAAAGCATACAATAACATTAAACTAGAGACCAATACGAATTGAACATACATTTACTCTAATGAATTGTCCAGGGTTGATTTGTAACTTGTTGAATGAAACTTGAGTTGAATTCTTCCAACTCGTATTGGGGGAATTCAACCGGTAAATGAACTCAAGTGAAAGAGCGTGAGAATGACAAGTCGAACCGATAATGACCAGAAGCTTTCCGATCATTTTATGTCTTACCATTTTCACTCGTCACAAATTTCTCATTATATTTTTTAGGTTTGAGATTATGTTATCATTAAAATGATTAGGTGCATTAGCGGTTGTCAGTTATCATTTGTTTGTTACCTTTAAACACCAAGTACATTTTTATAAATTCCGTGACTTATGAGGAAATCCCTGAATCACCAGCAAGTATAGACGTAAAATGTAAAAAATGCTCGGATTTATTTTAAATATGTAGGAAATACAGAAAAAGCTACGGCAGGGCTAGCTCGAGTTGTCTATTAATAGATACCGGACGTACGCTGCTCTGTGTCCGGAAACTAGCGGTAGCGGGCTGTCAACCGAACGGTGCGTTTCGGGAGATTGCTATCGCTATTCTCTACAAAGCACTCAAATACGAGGAGTTGACAGACATGCGTAAGTCCTTCCACGCGTTTGAAGTGCCATTTCCACTCACCCCTACATTTCGGTGAAGCTGTCAAGGCCAGCTGCGGCCAACAATATTAGACTAACTCGAGTTAAGTCAAGTCATGTTTATTACGAGTTAGCACATCTCTACTTGCACCATCTATAGTTGTATATCGCTCCAGTTGGCACACAGTACATTATAATGTAGGACGACTGGCTTGTTGACCAATAATTCACTAAATATCTACTTGACAAAAGTCAAGGCACACTGACATTGGTGCACTGACATCAGAAAAATGGCGGTCAATTCAAATTATGACATTACTTTGGACACAAAAATTTTCATTCCCCCAGTACAATTTTTTCTTTAGACAAATGCTTGGACAGTAAAACACTAATTAATGAATAGTAAATTTGTAATTTCACTTTTCGATACCAAAACAATTTTTATACAACTAATAGTTTTTATTAGTCTTACATTTTTTAATAGGTTCTTAATTTTAATATTTTATAATTTATACAATCCAATGATTTTTCATTGGAGTGTACGTCCATGTGCTTGATTATAAAACATTTGTTACAAAAATCACAACAACATGGTCTTTCATTGCAATGTACAAGCATATTGAGAAATTGAGGAAATAAAATAGAAAATAAGGTTTCACCACCACATGGTAGGGTGAGGTGGTTCAGAAATATTATGACAATTCACTGACTCATTAATAACATCCATAGCTTGTTACCTGCAATATACTGAGCTTAAACTCCTGGAGTCTACATCTAAACAGAGGTTGCACAGTACACAATGACATAAAGCAAAAAATACTTAAAATATATTTTTTTCTGAAATGAACAGATGTACATTTGCACGACAGAGCTGCCACTTTGTACATACTTATGTACAAAATAACAATATAAAATTATTAATCATGAAATGTTATTAACGGTGACACACACGTGTCTCTTTAAATTGCCCTTATTTCTAAACTGTTTGTTACAAACATCACAACCATATGGCTTTTCATTGAAATGTATAAGCATGTGTGCGGTTATATTGCTCTTGGTTCTAAAACATTTGTTACAAACATCACAACTGTATGGCTTCTCATTGGTATGTGTAAGCATGTGCTGTTTTAAATTATTCTTCACTTTAAAACGTTTGTTACAAATATCACAACTATATGGCTTTTCATTGCGATGTCTACGCACGTGTCTGGATAGATACTCCTTGTTTCTAAAACATTTCTTGCAAATATCACAACTATAAGGCTTTGCATAGCTATGTACAACTATGTGCTGGTTTAAATTATTCCTCAATTTAAAACATTTGTTACAAACATTACAAGTATATGGTTTATCATTTGAATGTACAAGCATGTGCTTTTTTAAATTATACTTCACTTTAAAACATTTGTTACAAACATCACAACTATATGGTTTTTCATTGTTATGTATAATCATGTGCCTGATTAAATTTACCTTCATTCCAAAACATTTGTTACAAACATCACAACTATATGGTTTTCCATTGGTATATTCAAGCATGTGCTGTTTTAAACTATTCTTCAGTTTAAAACATTTGTTACAAACATCACAACTGTATGGTTTTTCTTTGGAATGTATTTGCATGTGTTTGGTTAAATAGTTCCTTTTTCTAAAACATTTGTTACAAACATCACAACTGTATGGTTTCTCATTGCTATGTACAAGCATGTGCCTGGTTAAACATGTCTTCGTTGCAAAATATTTGTTACAAACATCACAACTGTATGGCTTTTCATTTGAATGTACAAGCAAGTGTGTGTTTAAATTACTCTTCACTTTAAAACATTTGTTACAAACATCACAACTATATGGTTTTTCTTTGGAATGTGTACGCATGTGTCTGGTTAGATTGTTCTTGTTTCTAAAACATTTGTCACAAACATCACAACCATATGGTTTTTCTTTGGAATGTATAAGCATGTGTATGGTTAAATTACTCTTTGTTTTAAAACATTTGTTACAAACATCACAACTGTATGGCTTTTCATTGGTATGTACAAGCATGTGTGTGGTTAAACGTCCCTTTATTCGAAAACATTTGTTACAAACACCACAATTATATGGTTTTTCATTGGTATGTATTTGCATGTGTGTGCTTAGATAGTCCTTGTATCTAAAACATTTGTTACAAACATCACAACTGTATGGTTTTTCATTGGTATGTACAAACATGTGCCTGATTAAATTTATCTTAATTCTAAAACCTTTGTTACAAACATCGCAACTATATGGTTTTTCATTGGTATGTACAAACATGTGTTGTTTCAAAGTATTCTTCAGTTTAAAATATTTGTTACAAACACCACAATTATATGGTTTTTCATTGGTATGTATTTGCATGTGTGTGCTTAGATAGTCCTTGTGTCTAAAACATTTGTTACAAACATCACAACTGTATGGTTTTTCATTGGTATGTACAAGCATGTGCCTGATTAATATTATCTTAATTCTAAAACCTTTGTTACAAACATCGCAACTATATGGTTTTTCATTGGTATGTACAAACATGTGTTGTTTCAAATTATTCTTCCTTTTAAAACATTTGTTACAAACATCACAACTATATGGTTTTTCTTTGGAATGTATTTGCATGTGTTCGGTTAGATAGTTCTTGGTCCTAAAACATTTGTTACAAACATCACAACTGTATGGTTTTTCATTGGAATGTACCAACATGTGTCTGGGTAGATAGTTCTTGTTTTTAAAACATTTGTTACAAACATTGCAACTATATGGCTTTTCAACAACATGGTTTTTCAATAACACATGGTCTTTTAGTGTTTTATGATCCTTGAATGTCTTCCTGCATATATCACACATATGAACTTGTTTACTGTTAGATGGTCCTCTTCTCTTCTGTTGTATTGATTTTTGTATATCATGCTTCATGCATTTACTAGACTCCACTTGTACAACTGTAGGTCCTATAACCATCTCGTTTTTTATTTCATGATCCTCATACAGTTCTAGGACATTATCATTTACCTCACCACAAAATATATCATTAACATCTGCTGGTTCTTCGTTTTCATCAACATACTCAGTCTTTACAACCACTACTCTATCTACGTCCTGCCCATTACCCTCTGTTTCAGTCCACTGCTCCTCTTCAGTACTTCTACCTTCATTGTATTGCCGATACTCCTCATCTAGTGGAAGCGACTGTTGTTTAGTGTCACCAGTAACATGCAGATTGTCTCCCCGTATATTGACTGCCGCTACATCTGATACTGAGTACCAAGGCTCCTCCTTTACTTGTGCGTCGTGGTGGTCGGTGATTGAATGCATTTCGGCAACCTAACAGACTTTTTCACTTCATATATAATATTGTGATAGAATAATAAAACCAGTAATGGATTTAGTGTATTTTAGGGAATTTGACAGTGGTCAGTGTATACAATTATTTATAACGGGTTTTTTAAATTCAGAGCAAAAATTATACTATTCAAAAGCTTCAGAGACAAATTTCACTTTAACTATGTTGCCAGCTTGTTATTGTTACGGTTTTTAGGGTTGTGACACTATCGGAAACTAATATTTATTACCGATTTTTATGGGTCACTGAAAAATAATGTGTGGGTGTATTAATAAAAAAAAAAACGCATTAAAACAAAATTAATAAAGTATAGGGATAACCTGTAAAATATATACAATCGATTTAAGAGTCAAAAATTTTACCTTTGATTGTTCTTGTTTTTGTTAGTCTACTAAAATTTCAACTTGCGGAAAGTAGTAATTTTTGACATTTTAATTAAAATACGTGAAAATAATTGTTTTAGCTTAGGAAAATACTTTTGACATCCTTTCGGCGTTTTTTTATTCCTTACAAATGTCAGTCGAAAATTAAATGCGTAGGTTACGTTAGGTTAGAGTGTAATGATAAGTGTCTATTGAAAGGAGAGACGGTTAGCACTCCCCTTGACAAGGATGGAACACACAAAATGGTTAAGGCACAACTTGACCACATTTTTTTTTATAAGAAGGCTTGGGCTCCAGGTGGCGCTGGAGAAGACCGAGGTCCTGTGTTTTCATGGGCCTCGGCGTGCGCCACCTCCGGATGCCCAGCTGGTCGTCAGTGGCCAGAGGGTGGGGGTCAAGCCCTGTATTCGATACTTGGGGCTTGACCTGGACAGTCGTTGGAGCTTCCGCGCTCACTTCCGGAACCTGGTCCCTCGCCTTATGGCAGCCGCCGGCGCTCTTAGCTGGCTGCTGCCAAATGTGAGGAGCCCGGGAGAAGGTTGGTCCATGGCCCTGTACGGGGCCCCCATCTGGGTGGGGGCCCTAGGTAGGGAAAATGTGGCCTGCCTCAACAGGCCACACAGGGTCATGGCCATACGGGCCATAAGAGGCTACCGCACCATATCCGGGGAAGCGGCGGATCTGCTGGCGGGGTCTCCTCCGTGGGACCTGGTAGCGGAGCTCCACGCGTCAGTGTATCACTGGCGCGCGGAGCGACGTTCCATGGGGGAGGCACCCGCTGGCCACGAGATTGGAGCGCGGAGGTCCGACTTTCGGCGGATCCTCAGGATCAGGTGGAGAGAAAGGCTGGCCAGTCCATCGGCCGGCCTGAGGACCGTCGAGGCTGTCCGTCCCATCCTCAAAAGGTGGATGAGTAGGCGATGGCCACTGACGTACCGCATGACACAGATATTGTCCGGGCACGGTTGCTTCGGGCGGTATCTGTGTCATGTGGCGAGGAAGGAGCCGACGACCGGCTGCCACGAGTGCGGAGGTGTTGAGGACACGGCGCAACACACGCTGGAAATATGTCCAGCGTTTGAGAGTGAGCGCCGTGTCCTCACACGAATAGTGGGGGACGATCTCTCGCTGCCGAATTTAGTTCGGAGGATGATCAGTAGCGAGAGATCGTGGCTGGCGGTGAGCTCCTTCTGCGAGGAAGTTATCTCGCGGAAGGAGGCGGCGGAAAGGGAGCGGGAGTCAGATCGTCCCGCTTCCCTCCGCCGCAGAAGAGCCAGGCCTAGAGGTGGGGGCGTATCCAACTCCGCCCCCCTCTATCCCCCACTGGGGCCGGGGTGACTGCCTTGAGGGAGGCAGTCCCCCCAATCCAAAGGCCCCGGAGGTGTGCGCGTGTACCGTGACCCACACGCCTCCACAATGGAGTAGGGCGAAATAGGTCGCCCTAACCACAAAACGAGATGGGGCCTGCCCTACAACATCTACAGGGCGGGCGGGCCGTCGCCGTCGGAGCTGGGGTAGAATGCACTTGCGAATCCCCTGGCTCCGGCATAGGCGCTCGTAGGTACACCGTGTGGTTTTTTAGTGGGTACAAGTCCCACACACCACCTCGCCATCCCTCCGGCGGGGTGACGGTCTTTTGAAGATTTTTCCACACGATAAAAATGATAAAACAAAAGAAAACTGGAGCTATGGTCACTAGTACGCTCAGATCGAAGGTCACCTGTCCTCCACACCGAACTACAACCCCCAAAGGAGATTTCCTTCAGTAAGGGTGAACCCCCCAAGTAAGGAGTATCCCCAAACCCCCTCCCCCCCAAAATCTATTAGATATATTTTGCAAACAGCGTCCTAACCTTAAAATTTTCAAAAAACATTTTAATAAAGCTATGAGAATTCATAACAATTCAAGGGAGAGGTGACCTGCCTCCCTAAAATAACCTCCAATGGCATTCACTACAAAGAATGCCACCACTGTAGCAACAGACCGACCAATCCGGAGCACTTGCGGCCGCCCGCCCGCTCGCTATTCTATAAATATGTCCACTGTATCAGTAGGATCGTCCGGTAAAATAGTAAAGGCCAGCTGCGGCCAACAGCATTAGAGCAGTCCGAAAAAAAAACAAGTAGGATTGGTAGTATATTCCTTACAATTAGTTAAGACACACGCGATTTGGTCTGCATAAAGTTTTGTGTATTTTAACAAATAAAACAGCTTTCCATAAGAGAGTCTTTAAATCTCACCATAAAAACCCTGAGAACCTCACGCGCCCATATCTTGTGCCCCAAAACCGCTAAATTTGAATATTTTACACTTACACCACAATTTAGCCTCCGAGATTAAAAAGCATACTATAATCCAAAAACATTAAAGCATACAATAACATTAAACTAGAGACCAATACGAATTGAACATACATTTACTCTAATGAATTGTCCAGGGTTGATTTGTAACTTGTTGAATGAAACTTGAGTTGAATTCTTCCAACTCGTATTGGGGGAATTCAACCGGTAAATGAACTCAAGTGAAAGAGCGTGAGAATGACAAGTCGAACCGATAATGACCAGAAGCTTTCCGATCATTTTATGTCTTACCATTTTCACTCGTCACAAATTTCTCATTATATTTTTTAGGTTTGAGATTATGTTATCATTAAAATGATTAGGAGCATTAGCGGTTGTCAGTTATCATTTGTTTGTTACCTTTAAATACCAAGTACATTTTTATAAATTCCGTGACTTATGGGGAAATCCCTGAATCACCAGCAAGTATAGACGTAAAATGTAAAAAATGCTCGGATTTATTTTAAATATGTAGGAAATACAGAAAAAGCTACGGCAGGGCTAGCTCGAGTTGTCTATTAATAGATACCGGACGTACGCTGCTCTGTGTCCGGAAACTAGCGGTAGCGGGCTGTCAACCGAACGGTGCGTTTCGGGAGATTGCTATCGCTATTCTCTACAAAGCACTCAAATACGAGGAGTTGACAGACATGCGTAAGTCCTTCCACGCGTTTGAAGTGCCATTTCCACTCACCCCTACATTTCGGTGAAGCTGTCAAGGCCAGCTGCGGCCAACAATATTAGACTAACTCGAGTTAACTCAAGTCATGTTTATTACGAGTTAGCACATCTCTACTTGCACCATCTATAGTTGTATATCGCTCCAGTTGGCACACAGTACATTATAATGTAGGACGACTGGCTTGTTGACCAATAATTCACTAAATATCTACTTGACAAATGTCAAGGCACACTGACATCAGAAAAATGGCGGTCAATTCAAATTATGACATTACTTTGGACACAAAAATTTTCATTCCCCCAGTACAATTTTTTCTTTAGACAAATGCTTGGACAGTAAAACACTAATTAATGAATAGTAAATTCGTAATTTCACTTTTCGATACCAAAACAATTTTTATACAACTAATAGTTTTTATTAGTCTTACATTTTTTAATAGGTTCTTAATTTTAATATTTTATAATTTATACAATCCAATGATTTTTCATTGGAGTGTACGTCCATGTGCTTGATTATAAAACATTTGTTACAAAAATCACAACTACATGGTCTTTCATTGCAATGTACAAGCATATTGAGAAATTGAGGAAATAAAATAGAAAATAAGGTTTCACCACCACATGGTAGGGTGAGGTGGTTCAGAAATATTATGACAATTCACTGACTCATTAATAACATCCATAGCTTATTACCTGCAATATACTGAGCTTAAACTCCTGGAGTCTACATCTAAACAGAGGTTGCACAGTACACAATGACATAAAGCAAAAAATACTTAAAATATAATTTTTTTATGAAGTGAACAGATGTACAATTGCACGACAGAGCTGCCACTTTGTACATACTTATGTACAAAATAACAATATAAAATTAATCGTGAAATGTTATTAACGGTGACACCACTTGTGTTTGGTTAAATTGCTCTTATTTCTAAAACATTTGTTACAAACATCACAACTATATGGCTTTTCATTGATATGTACAAGCATGTGCTGTTTTAAACTAATCTTCACTTTAAAACATTTGTTACAAACATCACAACTATACGGCTTTTCATTGCAATGTCTACGCATGTGTATGGGTAGATAGTCCTTGTGTCTAAAACATTTCTTGCAAATATCACAACTATAAGGCTTTGGATAGGTATGTACAACTATGTGCTGGTTTAATTTATTCTTCAATTTAAAACATTTGTTACAAACATTACAAGTATATGGTTTTTCATTTGAATGTACAAGCATGTGCTGTTTTAAATTATTCTTCACTTTAAAACATTTGTTACAAACATTACAAGTATATGGTTTTTCATTTGAATGTACAAGCATGTGCTTGGTTAAACTACACTTGAACCTAAAACATTTGTTACAAACACCACAACTATATGGTTTTTCTTTTGAATGTATAAGCATGTGGTTGGATAAATTTCTCTTGTTTCTGACACATTTGTTACAAACATTACAAGTATATGGTTTTTCATTTGAATGTACAAGCATGTGCTGTTTTAAATCATTCTTCACTTTAAAACATTTGTTACAAACATTACAAGTATACGGTTTTTCATTTGAATGTACAAACATGTGCCTGGTTAAACTACACTTGAACCTAAAACATTTGTTACAAACACCACAACTATATGGTTTTTCTTTTGAATGTATAAGCATGTGGTTGGTTACATTTCTCTTGTTTCTAACACATTTGTTACAAACATCACAACTATAAGGCTTTTCTTTGGAATGTACCAACATGTGACTGGTTAAACTAATCTTTACTTTAAAACATTTGTTACAAACATTACAACTATATGGTTTTTCATTTGAATGTACAAGCATGTGCTTGGGTAAACTACACTTGAACCTAAAACATTTGTTACAAACACCACAACTATATGGTTTTTCTTTTGAGTGTATAAGCATGTGGTTGGTTAAATTTCTCTTGTTTCTAACACATTTGTTACAAACATTACAAGTATATGGTTTTTCATTTGAATGTACAAGCATGTGCTGTTTTAAATTATTCTTCACTTTAAAACATTTGTTACAAACATTACAAGTATATGGTTTTTCATTTGAATGTACAAGCATGTGCTGTTTTAAATTAGTCTTCACTTTAAAACATTTGTTACAAACATCACAACTATACGGCTTTTCTTTGGAATGTACCAACATGTGACTGGTTAAACTATTCTTCACTTTAAAACATTTGTTACAAACATTACAAGTATATGGTTTTTCATTCGAATGTACAAGCATGTGCCTGGTTAAACTAGACTTGGACCTAAAACATTTGTTACAAACACCACAACTATATGGTTTTTCTTTTGAGTGTATAAGCATGTGGTTGGTTAAATTTCTCTTGTTTCTAACACATTTGTTACAAACATTACAAGTATATGGCTTTTCAACAACATGGTTTTTCAATAACACATGGTCTTTTAGTGTTTTATGATCCTTGAATGTCTTCCTGCATATATCACACATATGAACTTGTTTACTGTTAGATGGTCCTCTTCTCTTCTGTTGTATCGACTTTTGTATATCATGCTTCATGCATTTACTAGACTCCACTTGTACAACTGTAGATCCTATAACCATCTCGTTTTTTATTTCATGATCCTCATACAGTTCTAGGACATTATCATTTACCTCACCACACAATATATCCTTAACATCTGCTGGTTCTTCGTTTTCATCAACATACTCAGTCTTTACAACCACTACTCTATCTACGTCGTGCCCATTACCCTCTGTTTCAGTCCACTGCTCCTCATCAGTATTTCTACCTTCATTGTATTGCCGATACTTCTCATCTAGTGGAAGCGACTGTTGTTTAGTGTCACCAGTAACATGCAGATTGTCTCCCCGTATATTGACTGCCGCTACATCTGATACTGAGTACCAAGGCTCCTCCTTTACTTGTGCGTCGTGGTGGTCGGTGATTGAATGCATTTCGGCAATCTAACAGACTTTTTCACTTCATATATAAAATTGTGATAGAATAATAAAACCAGTAATAGATTGGAGGTAGTGGATTCAGTGTATTTCAGGGAAATTGACAGCGTTCAGTGTTTTGAAAGCAGAAACAAATTTCACATTACCTATGTTGCCAGCTTGTAATTGTTACGATTTTTAGGGTTGTACGCTATGGGAAACTAATATTTATTACCGATTTTTATGGGTCACTGAGAAATAATGTGTGGGTGTATTAATAAAAATAACGCATTAAAACAAAGTTAATAAAGTATAGAGATAACCTGTAAAATCTATACAATCGATTTGAGAGTCGATAATTTTACCTTTGATTGTTCTTGTTTTTGTTAGTCTACTAAAATATCAACTTGCGGAAAGTATTAATTTTTGACATATAAATTAAAATACGTGAAAATAATAGGTTTAGCTTAGGAAAATACTTTTGACATCCTTTCGGCGTTTTGTTATTCGTTACAAATGTCAGTGTCGAAAATAAATGTATAGGTTAGGTAAGTCAGAACGAAGAAGCTCACCTGTCCTCCTCAAAATCAATAAGGAACCGCAGCTTCCCAAGGGGGATTCCCTTTTGTAAGGGGGACACCAAAGTAAAGGGTAGGTACCAGTAATATCAATATAAGTAGTCCCCCAACCCCTCCCTCCTAAAATCTATTAAATATATTGCAAAAAGCATTCTGTTCTTAAAATTTTTAAAAATTCATTACTCTCCTCATCAAGGGGAAGGTGTAAATCCCTCCAAATCCCCATAAAATAACCCCCAAAGATTGAAAATTTGACATTTTCACCTGTCAATTTAGCCGAGTTTGAAAAGCATACTATAATCCAATAAAACTACAGCATACAATAACTTTAAACTAGAGACCAATACAAATTGAATATACGATTACTCTAATGAATTGTCCAGGGTTGATTTGTAACTTGTTCAATGTAACTTGAGTTGAATTTTTCCAACTCGAATTGGGGGAATTCGACCGGTAAATGAACGAATCAAGTGAAAGAGCGTGAGCATGACATGTCGAACCGACAATGACTTCTTCCTGATCATTTTATGTCATACCATTTTCACTCGTCACATATTTCTCATTATAGGTTTGAGATTATGTTATCATTAAAATGATTAGGTACATTGGCGGTTGTCAGTTGTCATTTGTTTGTTACCTTTAAATACCTAGTATATTTTTATAAATTCCGTAACATATGAGGAAATCCCTTATTTAGGACATTTTCGAATCACCAGTAAGTAGACATGTAAAATTTAAAAATCGGATTTGATATAAACATTTAGGAAATACAAATTGAGCACTCAAATACGAGGAGTTGACCAGCAGCCATGCGTAAGTCCTTTGAAGTTCTCCACAGGTTTGAAGTGCCTGTTCCACTCGCCCCGTATAGTTCGGTGAAGTTGTCAAGGCCAGCTTTAAAAAAACCGGCTCTGGTTAAGTGAATTTCAACTCGAGTTAACTCATATAATGTTTAATACGAGTTAGCACATCTCTACTTGCACTATCTATAGTTATGTATTGCTCCAGTTGGTACAGAGTACCTTGTAATATATGACGGCTGGCTTGTTGACAACTAATTCACTGTATATATACTTCACATTGGCTGTATGGGATGAGTCCTTTTGCCTATCCCTATTAAGGAAAAACCGAACCAAAAAAAAAATATACTTCACAAATGTCAAGGCACACTGACATCAGGAAAAATGGCGGTCAATTCAAACTGTAATATTACTTTGGACACAAAAGTATTGATGCAGCAAGTACAATTTTTCTTTATATTAATATTTGGAGAGAAAAAAACCTAATGAATAGTATTAACGACACAATTATCTAGTAAAGATATTAATTAAAGTTAAATAAATACTAAATTGTAATAACATTTTTTTAAAGTTAAGCCAATACGAGACGCAAAGATAACAATGGAACAAAATTTTGTATTATAAGTCTTCTATGATCCATACTACGAAATTGTGCATAAATTCCAGAAGATATTTGCATATCCCGAGATGATGAATGCATCCAAAAACTGTTACATGAAGTGGGATGTTACCCATTATTTTATATATGTAATTTGAATGTGTTTTTTGGTATAATTATAGGTTCAATTATCTTAATCTTAATAATAATAATAATAATTTATTTCCTTGCTACATGGTAGTTTCGGATATTATTAACTAGTAAAAGTACATGACATGCAGCACCCCTTACAGGTTTGCAAATATTCGAATTAAATCATATTCAATTTAATATAAAATTATGTCATTACATTACAAATACCCACAAATACATATAAATGTCTACAAGAACTTGAACACCTCATCACATAAAGATTTTTAACATTATTTTTGCCTGGTTTGTTTTGAAGGTAGGGCATCCCCAATATGTTAATGTGCCCAGGGCCTCTAATAGGTGAAAGACGGCCCTGATGAGTACCAAGAACGCTACTTTGGAATCCTCTTGGTCGAGTGTGACAGTGAATCGATCCTGCGTACATCGGAAGTAAGGCGGTATGCTAAACCACTAGACCACTGAGATCGTCAGTTGTTATTATTAACATATTATGGCCTTACTGAAAGGTTAGCCTATATCAATGTGATGATAGGTAACTATGTCACCTATATTTACTCATTCGCTAATGTGGAAACAGTTCTAACATATTATGTCATTACATTACAAATACATATAAATGTCTACCAAGAACTTGGACACCTCAACACATAAAGATTTTTAACATTATTTTTGCCTGGAATGCATCTGGACAGAAGACTTACTTGGAGAGACCACATAAAAGCAAAAAAAAACCAAGCTGATAGAAAACTTAAAGACATGTACTGGCTGATAGGTAGACAGTCTAAATTAAGTCTGGAAAACAAACTCCTCATCTATAAGAGCATCATAAAACCAGTGTGGACATATGTAATGGAACTATGGGGATCAGCTTCACACTCTAACATAGAAATTCTTCAGCGCTTCCAAAACAAGGCATTAAAAACCATAGCCAGAGCTCCTTGGTTCATAAAAAACATTGAAGTACATACACATCTAGAAATTCCAACTGTAAAAGAAGAGATACAGAAAGCCTGTGGAAGATATAAACACAGATTAGCCGGCCATAAGAACCAGTTAGCTTCAAAACTACTGGATATAAATAACTGTCCATCTAGATTAAAAAGAGCTCGCCTTGCCAACATCTAAAGAAAGAAAGTAAATGAGATGGCACCTTACTGAAGGGGCCTCATCTCAAAAAGCCAATAACTTCAAAAAATCTGATTATAGCCGGAAGGGCTGATCGCAGATAGAAAGAAAGAAAAAAAAAAATTTTTGCCTGGTTTGTTTTGAAGGTATGTTAATGTGCCCAGGGCCTCTAATAGGTGAAAGACGGCCCTGATGAGTACCAGGAACGCTACTTTGAAATCCTCTTGGTCGAGTGTGACAGTGTCTCGCCGCATGCTTGTCTTTTGCTTTATATATTGAATTTGAAATTACACGCTAGTGAAACCGCGCGCATAGCTAGTCTTATAAAAATTACGTGTCACGTTGTTTGTCCGCGATGGACTACTAAACTACTGAACCGATTGCAAATTGATCCAACTTGAAAAGTAGGATAGCTTACATCTCAATTTATAGTCGCTATATTATTTTATTCAAGAACCTTAGCCACAGCAATGTGTTTAAAATTCTCGTATCACCTCTGTAACGGTTTGAACAATTTTTATTAAATTATAAAATTTAATAAAAATTGGTGCATGTACATACATATTTTCTATAGTCTGGACAGGTAACTAGTGTTAAATAAAAGCAACTATTACATCATATAATCACCTATATTTCATTAAATACAACAGTAATTAAACAAGATTTCGTTTGTTTTATGCCATATAAAAACTAAAAAACAGGTAAAGACCTACAACTGTATACAGCCGAACTTCTGTCTTTATTATGCATCCCTGGTAACACTCCTTTATTGCAGCATAAAATCGACATTTAATAAATATTTGAGAGTTATAAGATTCGCAACACTAAATTAGTGCAAAATTGTAAATATTTAATTACAATTGTTAATTAAATAAAGGGACCTGTTTTGCGAATTATTCGTTATGGCAATACACAAAATACAAGATGGCGGTGTTTCTTCACTGTTAACTTAAAACTAGAGTCATTTACATCCTGTTCAATTCTTCACGGGCGAGACGAGTTCTTCGAGAGCTTTAATCTCGGCTGGAAATATAAAAAAAAATCATATTAGCAACTAGCCGTACTCGCGACTACGTCCGCGTGGAATTTAACTTTATTTTTCTAAAGTAAAAGTAGTCTAAGTTACAACTCATTACATCACCTAACTGTCAAAAAAAACACCATCAAAATCGGTCCAGCCATTTCAGAGATTAGCCGGAACAAACAGAGAGACAGACAAAAATTGTAAAATATATTATTTTGGTGTATATACCGTATCTATATTGCTGGGCTAACGATTTACGTTGGCGGGGCACCAGTTGACGATAACATGAGCATGATGGTCAGGTCAGTCTGCACGTCCTGACAAATTCGCCTGACTTTATCACGTTGGTTTCCAGGGGGAACCGCGTGGAGGTCAACCTGACGTGGTACATTGCTAGCAATAAGATCATCACTACACATTACTCACAATATCCTTTCCCCCCCTATTTGTTTTTTTATAAAACTATGGTGACAAATAGGCATACGTCCCATCTGCTGGTAAATAGTTACCGTAGACCGTAGAGTAGAAATATCGGATACAGATAGGTTTCGGATATAGGAATGTTTATTATACCGGACACGGATACGGTTGCGGATATGAAATTATTTCGGATTATCCGTTAGTTTCGGATAATTTCGGTTACGGATATTAATTTTTTATAGAATTTCAAAAGTAAAACACAAACAGCTAATATATTGGTTGCATAACATATCTGAATTAGGCTCCGTCCCTATCCGATATTATCTGAAACTTTTACTTTTATTCCGATAGTTTCGGTTACGGTTACGGACCTAAGATCCCTGCTGTAGACTATGGACTTCTGAAACATCAGGGGTGTTATGTGCGCATTGACAACCCATAAGAAAGCTTAATATAGCCTTCTGGGTGAAGGGAATTGTTAGTAATGTGGACTCATGACCCCATTACTAGCAATGTACTATATCAGGTTGAACTCCACGCGGTACCCACTGGAAACCATCGTGATAAATTCATGGCGAATTTACCACAATGGGCTAACTGACCTGACACCATGCTCATCTTGTCATCTTCGAAACCGTTAGCGCAGACAGGTGCACCATTCCACTATCATTCACAAAAAAAATAGCCTTCTTGTGTTCTTTGTGTGATCACTAACAGCAGGAGAACATGTCTACTTTTGTAAAAGATATACACATACCAGCTGCCGCTATGGCCTTCTCTTCCTTCAGCTTTGCATCTCGGATGACTTTCTCTTTGGCCTCGATCTCTCTGAACTTGGCTTCTTTCTTTGACAGTCTATTCTGGTGGAATGCTCCATACAGTATACCGGCGCCGAGGAATGACCACCTACCAAACTGGAATAAATATAATATGTATTATTGTAAATATGTACAAAAAAAATACGAGCTGAGTTTCTTGTCAGTTCTTCTCATCGACATCATTCCGAACTGACGGTAGATTTGACATATCATAAGAGTCTGTAATAGACCTACATGAATAAAGATATTTTGAATCCCATTAACACGTGCCATGTCAGTCGTATGTGTCTGACGCTAAGAAGTTCTACATGAGCCATGTCAGACATATACATATGTCTGACGTACGCGATTTGGTTGAAGGCGTGTTCAAAAACTTCAAAACAATAGGTTAATATTTGTTGTATCTTGTTTGGATGCATCAGACATATAAGACTCTGATACAGCTTGTCGAGAAAAAGTTTTAATATAGGGTCATGTCAGTCATATATGTGTGATATAAAACATCCTGTATTTCCGGGAATTTTGGCAAAAAAAATTCTGTTAAACATTAAGTTTCCTTGATACATTTTTAACTAAATTATCTAATAAAGTGAATTTTTTCTGATATTATCCTGGCGATTAACATGTTAAATTCACATATTATCGACTAGCTGTGCCTGTCACATGCGGACTGAGCGCATATACTGTTAGTGTAGACGGGTTCACCATTACATTATCATCAATTATAATAATACACATAATATATATGACGATATAATATATTTGACGACCTCTGTGGTCCAGCACACTGCTTTACATCCGATGGTCACGGGTTCGATTCCTCGCACGGCATAAACATTTGTATTCTTGATTATAACTGTTTGTATTGGTCTGGGTGTTTTCTATGTATAATATGTATGTATTTTCGAAAAAAAAATATCTATGTATTTGTATCAGTTATCTAGTACCCATAAAGCTTTAGCTAACTTAACTTGGGTCTAGATGGCGCTGTGTGAATTGTCCTGAGATTATTGATTGATTGATGTATCTTTTATGGAAACAGGCATTACATTTTACAATATGGCCCCATACTTTAGAAGTATAGTTTAATGATTTCAGTAATTTTATAAAAAAAGTACTAAATAATGCCTCAATAAATGATTATATGGGGAAACACCATAGAAAAGATGTTATATATATCATTACATAGTATAAAACAAAGTCGCTGTCACTGTCTGTCCGTCCCTATGTATGCTTAAATCTTTAAAACTATGTAATGGATTTTGTAGTGGTTATTTTTAATAGATAGTGATTCAAGAGGAAGGTTTATATGTATAATACATGTACACCAGGGGGAAGTCGGGCCGAGTAGCTAGTAAGCTTATATAAGATTTTTTCCTTTTTGGATGATAATGGCATGGTACTCCTGCCTGCACTAACATACTGGACACCAACAGAGGATGATAAGATGAGTATGAGATCAGTTTGGCCATTGTGACAAATTCACTAGTAATTTATCATGATGGTTTCCAGGGGAACCACTTGGAGGTCTGCTTGACTTGGTACATTGCTAGAAATTTTATTATTTCACATTACTAACAATCCCCATCTGCCTAGTGGTAGTTAGTCTAAAAAGGGATTTAATATGTTACACATATATAATAGTTAAATGCTATGATTTCAAAATTGATACCAACTAAAAATAATAACATATATAAAGTATCAGTACTGTTTCTCGCCCGTTCTTCTTAACTGAAGAAGCTAGTCGAACTATATACAATAAAAAATTATGACGTGCGTATAAAATCATACCTGAATAAATATTTTTTTTATTTTCAATCCTTCAAAATGATTTTCATTTGAAATCCTTCAAAATGAATCTAAGGAAACAATTACATGCAAATATGCCGTGGTAAAGAAAAAAAAAAGGGTTCTACAAATTCATAAAAATATTTCGTTCTTATTTATCAATAAGCTAAAATAGTTCTATTAATATCTAAATAATAGGGTTGATTATTAAACAACCTGTTATACATTCCTTAATTAATGTTTAATTCAAATATAGAATCCTATTTGTTACATAATATTCACTGATATGATCATCGAATTAAAAATAATTTACAATAATTACCCTGATCAATGGTGATACTCGTACTGGGGGTCCGTATGGAAGGTCAGACATTTTGTTAATTTATTAAAAATATCTAATAGATTCAGTAAAATTGTAATATCTTTTGGTTATGAATCCTTGAAGATTTTTGATAAAGGTGGAGAGTACAGGTTAATTTTACTTCAAGTCTGTTGATTGACAGTCACGAAATATATTCAACTACTCTGTACGTTGACTAAGGATTTGATAGACGGTTTAATTTTTTTAATACAATTTTTTTTTAATAAGACGTTAGTCTACTGTGTTAATATTTTTTTTAATGTAACAAGTGCCACATCTTTTACAATCTGTTTCAAAATTTGCAATCCTCGAAAATAATCTGCTAAGTCGGTCATAATTTTTGTGACATTACTATTTGGATGGATTTGGTGACATGACATGACGATGACAACTAAAATGAAATTACTTTATGGTTTAATTCCCACTCGTATTTCATCGTATAGTGGTCTATGATTCAGTCGTCAAAATGGCGTTGATCATGTCTATTGTGTCAGTAGCGATCTCTATACTGTATACTCCGTTTCTTCTTTTAGTACTGTGTGTTATATTCCTTGCTTCAATCGGAAAATCTCTGGGCGTCAGACGTTTATACGTGAATATACTGCTCAAACTTTTCGAGGTGAGTATTTTGCCTTAAATTATTTAAAAATACCTACGTCTTAATTTTAAACGGTTCGAACATGTGTTTGTCACAGATAACAAATTAAAGCTGTTTCTGTTCTTTCTAAATGGATATTAAATGATTTGATAAAGGATTCCTTTATGCGACAAAACCAAAAAAAAAATGAAATAATAAAAAAAAAAGTTATCTACAGGATACTGGCCGCATTGCCCCACTCATGACTTTATTATTTAAGCTAATAAATACGCTGAACAAGACAACCATACTCCTGCGTTTTCTACACTTAAAATTAATTGTTTACAAATTTCACTCCTGAATAAATTAATTCTTTATGATATTTAAATTCATCCTACGTTTTATTTTGACTTCCCACGCCATATGATTCATAAAGACTGCATGATTTACCATTTTTTGCGATTCACTGTCGAAATTTAAAAGATAAGTATGGCCAAGCCTGTAATTACGCTCATAATGCGTATTTGTTTTTATTGACTAGTCACCCGCCCCAGCTTTTCCTGTGTGCCAATAGCTTAGTTTTGTAGATATTAACAAAACATAGCAGATCAAGTATCACAGAAACATAATTTAACTTTATACATCCCTCAGAATTGATGTAAATGAAATTATCTATTCTGTGCAGAGGTTGTAGAGTATACTTTCATCATAACAAAATCTGCTGAAACCCATAATAATATGTAAATATTATTTTATTATTCTACTATATATACTCATGAACTTGTGAATGACTGTTCCTTGTAGGGACTGGTCTGTTTTAATCACTGTGTCTGATTTAATCTTATTGTGTATTTAATATGTCTCTAATGAATTAGTGCTAGTTGGCAGTTTATTCATACATTTGAATTTAAAAGTGTAAAGTTACAATTATTCAAAAGAGCAACACGCAAGTTTATTGCTCGTTCTTCTTGTGATGGGACAGTATTATGAATAAGTAATAAAAATAAATAACTGTGACTATTGATAAATGCTTCAACTTAAGTTTATTTGAAAAAATGATTTCTATGCTATTTTTTTTTTCTTTTTATTTTGACTCATAACATAATTTAATAGTATGACTTTCAGATATTTTACCTTTAAAAAGTAAAGTTGCACCACATTTGTTTAAAAGAGCAACAGTGATGTTTCTTTTTCATCAATGATGATGATATTGTATATTTAATATCTACAATAGATATTAAATATATTGTTAAAAGTATTTAAATAAAAAAAAAATCTATGCTATTTCTTACTGTAATAATTCCACTACTATAATTAATGTATATATATATATATATTATCAATACTATTTGAATTGAATTTTATTTAATAATAATCTATTCCTACCATTATTTCTATCTGAAGAAAGAAAAGGTACAATGTAAACCTGTATAGATTTATAAGATTAAAAATCTATTAGAACTAAAAGAATTATTACAATAAGAATTGGCACAGATTTTTTTTTTATAGGTTTATAGATTAAAAATGTATTAGATCTAAAAGAATTATTACAGTAAAAAAAAAAAGGAGAAGTATTTTTTGTTAATTATTTCTTTTTTGTATAGATTAAAAATCATATATTGTCTATTCACATACAAATGTTCCATCATTTAAATAAACATTTATGACACTCTATAAATGTTTGTGGTCGCTAACCTTCTCTTATCAGTAATGACTAGTAAGTCAATAATATGCTGTAGTAATGTAATAAAAAGATAATTACAACCTGTGGCTTAATTATGAATCCCTGGTATGAATGCAACATAATATTGTTGGATTCATGTTTTTCTACTAATCTTTTGAGAGTTTTATGTTTTTTAACAGACATCTTTATTAACAAACTAGCTGTCCCCGCGACTTCGTCCGAGTGGAATTTAGCTTTATTTTTCTAAAATAAAAATAGACTCCTAAGTTACTCCTTATTACATCAGTTATCTGCCAAAAAAGTCCCGTCAAAATGGGTCTAGCCATTTCAGAGATTAGCCGTAATAGACAGACTGTCAGACAAAAATTGTAATAAATGTTATTTTGGTGTATGAACCATATTTATTCATATGCATGTAGTAAAAAACGATTATTTCAATATTACAAACAGGTTACAATATAGATATAGGTATGTATATATATTATTGTATATATGTATAATATAATATATTTATATATATATGTGATTCTTAGATATATATTTTGTTTATCGCTCTATTTATATTTAACTAGCTTTTACCCGTGTCTTCGCTCGCGTTTATTTATTCCCTTAGGGGTGGAATTTATCAAAATCCTTTCTTAGCAGATGCCTATGTCATAACATCTACCTGCATGCCAAATTTCAGCCACCAAGATCCATCCAGTGGTTTGGGCTGTGCGTTGACAGATCACTATGTCAGTCATCTTTGAGTTATATATATTAAGATTGCATTTTGTTTATCATTTATTATATTTGCACCGCCAACAATTATTCTCAGCACCACCTATGGTTGCCTGGTAGAAAATGCCGCATGGTGTTAAGTCCGCCAAATGTACTAAACTATATTTTGTATATTGTGTGCATTGAAGTTAAATAAATAAATAAATTGTAAGTATGTCGATTTTAAACAGTTTAAATTGATAATTATTATCAACAAAGTTTCGTAATTACGCTTCTGTAGGACTACGAATCACTTATCTCTGATTGTAATTGACACAATTTTCAATACTTAGTTAGTTTTAGTAGTTAAATAAAAAAATAGATCTTGCCCACGGTTACCTTTTACAAGCGCACTGCTCGCAATCGACTCATCCCCACACGCTAGAAACTAAGTGGTCTCGGACAGTGCGGTTTCAGTAGAGCTTCCTCCCGCGTACACTTAGACTGTGGAATGAACTACCTGCCGAGGTTTTCTTGAGAGACTAGGGGTTTTTCAAGAGTAGATGTTGTCCATGCTACCTTTTACCATCGCACCGCTCGCCATCGACAGGGAATTCATCCCCACACGCTGGAACCTAAGTAGTCTCGGACAGTGCGGTTTCAGAGGAGCTTCCTCCCGCGTACACTTAGATTGTGGAATGAACTACCTGCCGAGGTTTTCTTGAGAGACTAGGGGTTTTTCAAGAGTAGATGTTGTCCATGCTACCTTTTACCATCGCACCGCTCGCCATCGACAGGGAATTCATCCCCACACGCTGGAACCTAAGTAGTCCCGGACAGTGCGGTTTCAGAGGAGTTTCCTCCCGCGTAAACTTAGATTGTGGAATGAACTACCTGCCGAGGTTTTCTTGAGAGACTAGGGGTTTTTCAAGAGTAGATGTTGCCTATGGCTATCTTTTACCATCGCACCGCTCGCCATCGACAGGGAATTTATCCCCAGACGCTGGAACCTAAGTGGTCTCGGACAGTGTGGTTTCAGAGGAGCTTCCTCCCGCGTACTCTTAGATTGTGGAATGAACTACCTGCCGTGGTTTTCTTGAGAGACTAGGGGTTTTTCAAGAGTAGATGTTGTCCATGCTACCTTTTACCATCGCACCGCTCGCCATCGACAGGGAATTCATCCCCACACGCTGGAACCTAAGTGGTCTCGGACAGTGCGGTTTCAGAGGAGCTTCCTCCCGCGTACTCTTAGATTGTGGAATGAACTACCTGCCGAGGTTTTCTCGAGAGACTACGGCATGGGGTTTTTCAAGAAGGGTATATTAAGATTTCTTAACGGCCGGTAACGCGCACGGACACCTGGTGTTTTAAGCATTTATAGGCTACGGTAACCGTTTACCATCAGATGGGCCGTATGCTAGTTTGCCAACGTCGTAGTATAAAAAAAGTTTGCAATAAATAGAATAAGAATAGAATAGAATAGAAAATCATTTATTCAAATAAACTTACATTGAAGCACTTTTGAATAGTCATCACGTTTTGTTTAATCTACCGCTCATTCGGAATGCTGTCTCATCACAAGAAGACCGAGCAAGAAACTTGCGTGTTTTAAATAATTTTATTATTACTTTACATTTTTAAGTTTAAGTGTGAATACAAACCACCAATTAGCACTAATTCAATTACTTAAATACTCAAATAGAAAAAATATTGAATATACAACCAACTGCTTAAACAATTAATAAGAGGAAATCAGTCATAGTGATTAGAACAGACCAGTCCCTACAAGCAGCACCCGTTCACGAGTATAACGGATGAGCCAGCCATCATTGGGATCGACCATATTTTAGGGAGCCCAATGGGAAACATCAGCCCCTATTACAAACTCTCCTTTCTCCCACCAAGATATGCTAATGAATCCGTAAAAGTACCAGGATAACATAAAGTTGTAGATGGTAGAAGAATTTAGATATCTGAAATGGCTGAGGTTGTCACAGAGAGGTTCGTTTTGGTACACTCGGATTATCACCAGCGTAGTATAAAAAAACCCTGGTGGTTTATCGGTTTAGCACTCCGCCTTACTTCCCACGGTTGTGGGTTCAATACCTCGCATGGAGCAAACTGATATTCATGAGTATGATTGTTTGTAGGTCTGGGTGTTTTTTTTTTTATAATTTCGCAGCAATTGAGGATCATAATGTAGAAAGTAAGGGGAAATTTACCAGGAATGTATAAAATTAGTGGAGGTCAATAAGACATAGTACATTGCATACGAGCTGAGTTTCTTGTCAGTTCTCATCTCGAAATCATTCCGAACTGACGGTAGATTTGACATATCAAGAGTCTGTAATAGACCTACATGAATAGAGATATTTTGAATTTTGAATTGCTAGCAGTAGGGTTGTTAGTCAGCATTATTTTGTTTTTTAATTAAATACAATTTTCCACAGAAATATTGGTCCGTGCCTTTTTTTAATTTACTTTAATATTATTATATTTCTTTAATTTCCACTTTTGTACAACTCCAGCCGAGATGTTACAATTTGCCTAACAGTGGCACCGAGGCAGACCTTATCCGTCTGGCCCAGAACCACCGCTGGCCGGCCGGGTGAGTTGACGACATGCAGTGTCACCTATCTTTATTAGGATTTGTTTTCCT